CCCATTACGATGCAAGTCTTTAAAACTCAATAGATTTCTCCGAGATCTTGTAGAATATAAGGCATCATTGATTTGCAATCTTGTTCTATGTGGTAAAATGATGTTGGCTCGTCCGGAGTCTTCAATCAAGTCGGTGGGACTTGATATTGTACTGACACTAACTTCTGTGTGCAACAGGATGTTCAACATTAATTCCAACAGACATGCAAAAATGATCAAAAGCTTAAGAAGAAAATTCAGTGGCATTATCAAGATGGATTATCTTAATTGGGTAATCAAGAAAATATGCCTGTAATTTGATGATTTGAGCAAGTAGTCTAGCAAATGCAACATTACGAGTAGAAAACAGACAAAAATGTGACCATCATGTTGAGGCATCAATTAAGACCATAAAATAGCAAAATGGTCCACAAGATGGATGAATTAGCCCACATATATCCCCGTGAGTTCGTTGTAAAAATGGGGGAGACTCAACAATGACTTTTGAAGGGGATGGTCTGATAATCAACTTACCTTGTGAGCAGGCGGTGCATAGATGATTATTTGGTAAGATGATTTTTTGATCCTTTAGTGGGTGTCCATGTGAATTTTCAATAATTCGACGCATCATTATACTCCCCAGGTGACCAAGTCGATCATGCCAAAGTATAAAAAGTTTTAGGTCACGCGATTTTTTATGTATCACAACATTTGACTCAATTGTCCTAATGGTTATATAGTATAACCCAGAAAAGAAAACAGGAAGTTTTTCTAATATCTGCTTCTTGCATGAGGTAATGGAAGTAATATAGAGATATTTTACATTTCTTTCATTTGCGGTCTCAATATGATACCCATTACGATGCAAGTCTTTAAAACTTAATGGATTTCTCCAAAATCTTGTAGAATATAAGACATCATTGATTTGCAATCTTGTTCCATGTAGTAAAATGATGTTGGCTCGTCCGGAGCCTTTAATCAAGTCGGTGGGACCTGATATTGTGCTGACACTAATTTCTGTCAGAGTTAAGTGGGAAAAATATTTTTGATCTCGAAGGATTATATGTGTTGTTCCACTATCTACAAGACATGTGTCTTCACCATTTATTTTGGAACTAGTCAGATCCATTCCTATTCATGCAAATTTCTTTATCAGAAAGAAACATTTATAACAAAATAAACTTTAATACAAACTAAAAGATAAAAACTTGAATACAAGGAAAACAAAAACATAGTAGACAGAACATGAAAAGAAAATAGGATTAATTGGTGTGGACATTTCCATCACCAATTAGGAAGTCTATCTTTCCACTACGGTTCTCAAAAAAAATCTGATACATCCAGATTTGTGATTTCAACTGGCTCATCATGATTAATAAAATTCATTTCTAGATTTGTGATGTCAATTGGCTCATTATGATCAATAAAATTCATTTCCTTTTGTTTCCCCTTTTCTTTCATTGAGGTTTGGTAAAGTTCAGCCAGATGCTTAGGTATACAACAAATGCTTTGCCAATACCCTGTCATGCCACACCGATAACAAGTATTATCATGTGTTTTAGGAGGTTGAGCCACGACCTTCCTTTTTACTTGTTTCATTTTATTATAATCTCTCTTTTGGGGATATGGTGTGGATCTCTGATTGTGAAAATGTGATAATTGATATCCTTCACGATAATAAGAATGATTTCTACCACAACCATATTCATTATTATGGTAATTATTTTTACTACGACCATATTCATTTCTACCACCACGACCACGTCCACGTCCGCGTTCACGACCACGAGATGAGGTAACATATGTTTCAGGGATCGATATCGATCCAGTTGGACGGGACTCGTGGTTTCTTAACAGAAGCTTGTTATTTTGCTCTGCCACTTGTAAACATGATATCAGCTCTGAATATTTTTTAAATCTACGCTCTCGATATTGTTGTTGTAAGAGCACATTCGAGGCATAAAATGTGGCGAATATTTTTTCGAGCAAAAGTTCATCAATAATAATAGCATCACCACATAATTGCAATGTAGAGTTGATTTTGAATAGGGCAGAGTTATATTTAGCCACAGTTTTAAAATCTTGCAACCTCAGTTACTGCCAATCATCCCTGGCCTTTGGGAGGATAACTGTTTTTTGATGATCATATCTTTCTTTCAAATTGTTCCACAAACACAATGAATCTCTTTCAGTGAGGTATTCAGTTTTTAGCCCCTCACAATATGGCGCCGCAGGAAAATCATGGCCTTCACTTTATCTTGTAATGATGCATCATTCTCATCTTTGATTGTGTTTCTGAGGCCCATGACATCTAAATGGATCTGAGCATCCAGAATCCAAAATAAATAATTTTTGTCAGATATGTCTAAGGCCACGAATTCTAGCTTTGTCAAATTTGATATTTTCAGAATAACGAGATGTGACAACAAGATAAAAACATAATTTAGCATAGTATATAAAATAAATCAAATAGCATTAAGTGAAATAATAACATAATATGAATTATTTAAATAACAAAAGTGGTAAAACCTGAATAAATTATTAAATAATAAAAGCAGTAAAATCGGTCATGAATCATTAAATAATAAATGTGACAAGACCGATCATACTATGAGTACATATATTATTTAAGTGAACAAATTTATTTTATGAGTAATAATTCATAATTAAAATTTTCTTACCCTTTGGAGTCAGAAATACTATTTTCTTCGATAAAGTAAACCAACCCAACAATCTATCAAAACTAATATTACAAAATAGATATATAGTTGAGATAAAAAGAGGGAGAGAATATTTCTTTTTTAAATCTCAGATGGATCGAGCTCGTACTGATAACGATATAGGGTTTGTCCACGGGTGAATTTGATCAAGGTAATGGGCTCCAACAGAAGTAGGGTTTGTCCACATGTGAATGCTCTCGTTGGTTAGCCTGATATCCATTATAATAAACATTAATATTTAATCTATGTGGCCGGTGTTTTTCTTCTTACTTTAATTAAGACTTATAATGTATACTACTTTCGTTTCATAATAAATATTTATATTTAGAGATTAAAATTTTTAAAGAAACATATGCATTATCTCCTTTTAAATTTTTTAAATTGTCCCTTTTAATTTAAATATATATAGTTACAAAATTTGAAATTTTTTAAAAGATAAAAGACAATAATGAAAATATAAAGAAAATATACTTTGACTTTTTAAAGAAGACAACTAATTTAAGACATGTAGAAAGGGAAAAATGGACTACTATTATGGGACGGAGGGAGAATATATTAGTATTTATTATTTAATTGACTATTAAATGTCTCGTTTTAATAAAGAGGTCAATAAATAGGTTGACAAGTGTAATTTGTTTAATAAATGTGTCGGGTTAGTATTGAGATGAGATTCCTGACACGGTCTTGGAACAAGCTTCCAAGTATCATTTTTGTAAATTTGATCAAGCTCTTCCTGCATAGCTACAACCCAATCTTTATCATTCTTGATTTCAAATTATTAAAATGATTAGTGCTTAAATTCACCTGTGACCCAACATGATTATAACCCGGGAACACAAATCGCCACCCCTTTATATGAATGTCTATACTTTGTTATAAATTGAAATTCTATGCAATTATCAAGTTCCTCTGGTCCTAGTCTAATTGGGAAATTGAGCAAAATCTCATGGTATCACATGTTACACAAACAAGAAATGTCATGAAAATAATATGGGACACGGTTTGCCTTCTGTATCCAGAGTGAACTTTTCACCAACATTTATGGGACGCGGTGGTACGACAAGAGCCATGAAACATATGTGTCCACTATAAAGTCGTGATTTAGTTGAAAACTGTGTCTGAGATAAGTGTGTTTAGGTGTGTATTATGTGCGTGTAAATACACATACACGTACGTGCTACTGTCTTGGTGGTATGAAAAAATGGGAAACACCCTGCCGAAAAACAGAGGTTTACATATAGTGTCTGTATAACACAAATAGTTTAATCTGCTTTGACCCCAAAATTATTCAAGTCAAAATATGCTAGAAATCAAACTTTTTTTGGTAAATGGCATGTTTAAACTGCAATTCCTCTTATACTTTTGAATTAAACTGATGTTTGATTTCAAATGAAAGAACAGATTTCGTAATCCCAAAGCAACATTCACTTACAAGATATCATTTCAAAGGACTAAATATGGAATGGAATGAGCTTCATACTACAAACATTTATCATGTAACTATAGTCCTTTTTGAATTCAAAGTTGCATACAGTTCCCCTAGAAATGGGAAATTGTAGACAATGAGAGAGAATGTATGTAGTCAAAGACTAATGTCGTGTCTATACCGTATCAGTATATCACCAAGACCAGTACAGTTTTTGGTGCTTTGAATACTCTAGAAGAATAAATATCAGAATACCATTTTTGGTTTGGTGGTGTGAATTGGGCACTGTTTGACTGATTGCAATGTAAGGTCTAACTAGATTTTCACTTGAAACATTGGCAAATTAATCACAGTCCGATTTACAATTGCAAGAATAGTTAATACCATTTGTTTCTTTCCATTTGTATACTAGAAGGACACACGGACAAAAAAAATGGAACCAAAAGTCCTCGTTGGCGTGACTAATATTGTTGTGTTCCGACCTAATTCGAAACAAAAGATTGATAATCTGGAAACAGATTGCGTTTCATGCGTTTTGCCCGTTGTCAAAATAAGCAATCATAAATGGAATAAAATTGTTTTGACCTATGGTAAATAGTAAATTTTTTGAATGTGGACCAAAAAGCAAAAATAGTTACCTGCCCCTTCAAGTAATTCAAGCATTACAGAGGATGCGACGGTCAAATAGATTCAATAGCTAACTCAAAACCTGTTCAGCAGGAAGCAGACATGGATAGACAAAATTTTCAAACAAGGATTCATGGATGGTCCCTCCTTCTACGAGGCTTCATTTCCCACAGCATTGTCTCAGCAGAATGACACTATATAAAGGCTACACAACCCATGCAAGAAAAACTACAAAAAAATCATTACAACATATATAACATATATATAAGCTCTTTCAATTAAGAGTCCTTCACAACTTGTCTCTATATATAAATTCTTCCCTCTCAACCTTATCTTGCAGAGATTACACCACTTTTTAGGCCCAAAAAATGGTTTCAGTTTTGAGCAAGCCACAGAACCTGTTGTCCAAAATGGCAACCAACAGTGGACATGGCGAAGACTCGCCTTACTTTGATGGTTGGAAGGCGTATGACAGTGATCCGTATCATCCTACTCGCAATCCTAATGGGGTTATTCAGATGGGTCTTGCAGAAAACCCGGTAACAATTTAACATAGTTGTGTTATACACTTAACATGCATTTATATTATTAAAAGACACATGTATATGAGTCAATTACTTATCTTGTTTTTGTCTTTTTTTTTTTGCAGCTTTCCTTTGATTTGATTCAAAGGTGGATTGTGAATAATCCGCAAGCCTCAATCTGTACGGTTGAAGGAGCGAATGACTTCAAGGACATTGCTATATATCAGGATTATCATGGCTTGCCAGAGTTCAGAAATGTATATGAACCTTGTAGCTATATATATATATATATATATATATATATCATCTACCATATAGTATTATCATTGATATTGGTACTATGGATGTTAATCTACAGGCAATCGCGAAGTTTATGGGAAAAGTGAGAGGAGAAAGAGTCACATTCGACCCTGACCGTATTGTTATGAGTGGTGGAGCAACTGGAGCTCATGAAATGATGGCCTTCTGTTTGGCTGATCCTGGTGATGCATTTTTGGTACCCACACCATATTATGCAGGGTAATACATCATTCTATTTTTATTTTGGTCATTAAGAATCAGATATAATAATGTAGGTTAGGTGGATATTAGGTGGTTCTATGCTTTTAAAATTAGAGAGAAGAGTTAACAAAACTTAGATGACCAACACATTCTCCTAGCCAATGCATGGATGGGATCAATTACATTAATACACATCTTAACCATCCTAACATCCAAGAGCTCTTGGGCTAAGTTGAATTATTGGTGAGAATAGGTCATTGAGAATGAGAACAACAGCTTTTTCTTATAGAAAAGTAAGCAGGTCTTCTAATGGAAACCTACCACTTAGTTGTTGGTACCACGTGTGATAGTGGCTGAAAACTACTGATCAACCAAAATGAGGACCACCTTAAATTTCTGCAATTTGGGTTGGTGTCTACTTCTTCCTTGGACCAGGCCAACTTGCACCTCTTCATAATCAGTCTGTTCTTTGAACTTTCAAACGATGCAGAATATTGATACCTAGCTAGAGCAACTTATGAAAAATTTATCCACCAATGTAAAAAGTAGGCCTATGACAGTAATTTATCGAGGTAGAAACGTAGATGCACCCCTTTTATGCTTCCAAATAGACTCAAAGATTTGGGGTTCCATTGCAGATTTGATCGAGATTTGAGGTGGCGAACAGGGCTGCAACTTGTTCCGGTTGAATGCAAGAGCTCTGACAACTTCAAAGTCACCAAAACAGCCTTGGAAGTGGCATATCAGAAAGCTCAAGACGATAACGTCAGAGTAAAAGGCTTGCTCATAACCAATCCTTCAAACCCATTGGGGACTGTCTTGGACAGAGAGACACTGAGAGATATAGTGAGCTTCGTCAATGAGAAAAGCATCCACCTAGTCTCTGATGAGATATATGCTGCCACAGTCTTCAACCAGCCTGGCTTCATTAGCATTGCTGAGATAATAGAGGAAGACTTGGAATGCAATCGCGATCTTATTCACATTGTTTATAGTCTCTCAAAAGATTTGGGCTTCCCCGGCTTCAGGGTTGGTGTTGTGTACTCATACAACGATGCAGTAGTTAATTGTGCTCGGAAGATGTCAAGTTTTGGACTTGTTTCCACACAAACTCAACACCTAATTGCATCAATGCTCCTGGATGATGGTTTTGTTGAGAACTTTATCGCTGAGAGCGCTGAGAGGCTAGGTAGAAGGCATGAGGCCTTCACAAAGGGGCTAGCTAGAGTAGGCATTGGTAGTTTGAACAGCAATGCCGGGCTCTTTTTTTGGATGGACCTTCGAAGACTCCTCCAAGAGCCAACTGTTGAAGCTGAGATGAAACTTTGGCGTGTGATAATCAATGAAGTTAAGCTCAATGTGTCACCTGGCTCTTCTTTCCACTGCTCAGAGCCTGGTTGGTTCAGAGTTTGCTTCGCGAACATGGATGATGAAACCATGAAAGTTTCGCTAAGAAGGATAAGGCACTTTGTGCTTAAAACCAAACAAGTGGAGGCAGCTCCTAAGAGGCAATATTTGCTAAGCAATCTTCAAGTCAGCTTATCATTCCGAAGGTTGGATGATATCTTCATGGCACCGAATATGATGTCCCCTCACTCCCCTATTTCTTCACCCCTTGTTCGCGCTATAACTTAGATTATTAATAGTACAAATAACACCTCACATCATTAGATACTACTTAATAAAAAATTGATGCATTCTTTCCTGTGTTTAGTGTACTACTTAGAAATACAGTGACTTTGCATCGTCAAATATACCATTAAACCTTTTTTTTTTTCCTATATAAATGACTGGGATCATGCCCCTATTTGTTGGATGCAGACTGCATTCATTGGGATTTATATAGGTTCAAGCAAACCTCTTGTTTTTCTGTTTCTCAAGTGAGCCTTATTTTATTTTATTATTATTTTTTTTAATTCAGTCCTTAAATTGTAAGTGGTATTGGCAATAAATAAAGTTCCATTTCTTTTCTATTATATCTCAGTTCATTGTGCAAGCTCATTCCTATTCAAAACACTGATAAACTATTATTTTATTGAATGCATCTAACAGATTTTTTATAATGGGACTCACTTCAATTAGTCAAAACAATTGAATCATTGACTTGAACAACTGTAGAATTGTTATTTAGTCAGAATTATGGAAGGAACTAATAAATCCCCATTATTTATATATAACTATAACATAATGATTTAATGTAGAGGCTTGTAGGTTTCTAGATTCTTTTTTTAAAAACAAATTAATATTTATATGATGAGCAATGTAATTTGCTTCAAAAACTGATATAGGAAAAAGAAATGGTAAAGCTCAAGGTATATTTCTCATCAGCTTCTGTTACAATTACTTAATTAATTAATTGTAAATTTGTAAATGCAGTTGGATACTTCTAAGATTGTAGCACTTGGTGCTTATGCTTCTTGTTGAGCTTAATATGTACATATTCAATTTTCTCCTACCCTCATGGTAGGAGTTGAGATTCTTGTACCTTTATATCTGATGTTATGTTGGAAGACTCTGCAACTCCTCTCTGTTTGGAAAGTTGCCACATGCTTGTAAAAGCAACAAAACAAGAAAAACATGGTGTAATCACTACTCGATAAACTCTAGATGAAGAGGCAAACAAGCTGCTAGAAATAAGAAGCAGAAGGTGAGGATATCGTATTTCGAATTTTTTGTTTTTTTTTTTTTTTTGGAAAATTAAGCAAATTTATTAAATAAAAGGAAATAATTACATGAGTGGGCCTGTCGGCCAAAAGCCAAATGAAGGAAAACAATAGCCCAAAAAAATTTGGCCCAACAAGGGAGAGGCCCAGGACCAGTTTCAACCTAATAACCGCAATTAACGGCTTGTTTGGATGAAGCCAGCAACAATCCTTTAACATTTGGACACTTAGAGAGGTACTGCCACATTAAAATGATCAGTGACTACAAGTATAGCTTTCTCCTAGTCACACACACACACACACACAATTATAATACAACTAAAAGAAACTAAATCACTTGCCTTTGGTCATGTACAACCATGTATATTGATTATGCATATATATGATAGTCATTGTTTCGTTATCTTTTATAGCATAAACAACGACCGCCATAACTGTGATGTTTTATGACATATTGTGTAATTAATTTAAGTACCAAATTTGGTAGATTGAGGGTACTGTTCTTTTCCATTTTGCTTGACCTTGTATATTTTATAATCAGTCACTGTCTTTTACATGCATAGCCGCCCAAGATTAATTATGTAGGGATTAGGATGGATTAGCTTAAACAACCTAAGATTAGTTAGATATTCATGGACAAAAGCCATCACAGATGAGATGACCTCATAACTTATGTCCTGTAACTGTGATTCCATGAGCAAGCAAACAGACCAAAGTTTTTATTCAATGCATATAATAATAAAATCACGATATGGCCTATGACCATGATATGGCCAGCCACACACTCACACACAGATATATATATATGATTTTATGTGCAATCTTTGGGCCTAATGGATTAATGTTAGAGGTTCTTGTTCCACATGACAAGAATTAATAATCTGTGGAGGATAAGGATGCTAACAATTGCACAGGTCTGTCAAAGTTTTGTTTTCAGGGTTATGGGGTCCAATAGAAATAGGGATGTTCATATATAATACCTTTGATCTAAGTTTTTTAAACACTCAGAACTGCAGTGTAGAATGTTAAAAGTAGAGCATAGTAAGTAAGGAAAGCAAAAACAAAATAGGGAAGGAAAAAAATAAATGATCTGGTAAACACTTATCTGGGAAAAAATAGTATATAGAGAAAAATAAAGGAAGTACATATTTTTGTTACACTGGTCAAAAAGAGCAAATTGTATAGTTACCATCTTATTGTTATTTCTAAATAAAAAAACAGGAGCAAAATTTCTATTTGAGGGGTTACGGAACATATCCCTTTTTATTCCAACTCTCTCAATAATGTGTTAACAGATACAAATTTGAGTACAAGTCCCAATATACCTTTTTTTTTTTAAGCTATAATTGGACCTCCAATCATTAAAAGAAAGAAAATGGGGAAAAAAAAAAAGAAGAAAAAAAAGTGGGGGCCCAAAACCAATAACTATGAAGCTTGATTTGACCCTCATGGAGTTTGCCGGATTTATTCACTCATCTTTGGAGTGCTTAGGTTATTGTACTGTATTAGTGTTATAAGGAATCATTTGTCGCACCGTAGCATCCGAATTGAAAAGTGATTGAGTAAAAATAAGTGGATATATAATATTACTCAATAATTTAAATTTTTAGATAAATAGGCGAGCGTCCACTCGTCACAGTTGGTATCAGAGTCAAACTCAATCATTGATCCAATGTCACGTTAAGCGCCAAACCCGAAAGACATCCGAGAGAGTCACCCCAGGTAGGCAGGGTGGCCTGATCGCAATGAAGACGTTGCGAGTTCGGGTGGGGGAATGTTACAAGGGGTTATTTGTCCCACATCGGATTCGGATGGAAAAATGATTGGGTATAAATCGGTGAGTATACAGTACTATCCAACAACTTAAACTTTTGAGTAAATAGACAAGCACCTGTTACAATTAATACAATAGAAGTCAATTAAGATGAGCCTATTACATTGTTGTTTAATTGGTTCTCTAAATTTCTAGCAAAAATGGATCTATTTGTTGTTTCATGTTATAGTAAAAAGGTCTATGTGTGTTTTACTGTTGATGACCCTGTAACATAGGCACAACTCGCCAGCGTTTACCTGGCGTGTCTATGGTGGATTAGGTATTCTCGAGCTACCTATCCGATAACTAAACTTGTTGGCCGAGGAAGGGGTCGCTACCCTTCTTCTACTGTGGACGTGCCCCGCTCCAGTCGGATGGGCTCCTCCCCCCCCCGGCTCGCTCAAGGGTGCTCTCTGAAAGAGCGACCTCGACTAATCTGTTTCACGCACTTCCCTTCTTGGTTAAGAAGGTCTTGGGATAAAGTTGGAATAGAACCTTGCGAGGTCATGAAGGCAGGACCTCGGAAGAGACCTATCCCCCCTGAAGTACGGGAATCTGAGGACATGTGAATAGGTGGTTGAGATCCAAGGTCTCGCCTCAGCCCGAGGCCAACACAAGGGGAAAAGGACACTAGGTACCTAAGCTTGAGAAAGGAAGGATAAAGAAAGCATTAATTGTGAAAGACATTTGATAAGACCCGTATTAATTAGGGAGTGCTATTACCTCTTTTGACTAGGGGGCAAAGCGTCGCGACCCATCCATCAATGTCTCATCCGTCAGAAGAAGAGACCCTCAAACCTTTGGGTAAGAGCGGGCTCAGCTAAAGGACTAAAAGACATTGACCGAGGAGGTAAACACTACAAATAGGGGTGTTAATCAGCCTTTAAGACAATAACTACCACATTAATAGCTATCATCTGATAAGCTCGAGCTCATACGGTACCGAGGTCGGCCTTCCCTTTCTTAATCTCCTTACCTAGAGAATCTCTTGTGTTGCTTGGATCTTCACTTAGATACTGATCTTAGATTTCTTTGCTTACGTGGAACGATCTCCTCGTCTTACTCACGAACTACCATCAACAATTACTCATGAAATGGTTATAATAAAAATACCTTCAGATGAGGCTTGAGATATTGCTTTAATAAAAGTCTCCAGTTGAAAGCAGTTTCCTAATTCTTGACTTTAAAATTAGTTTTACTTGGCCAATGGCCTAAAAACTAGAACCCACACAGTGTCTTATATGTTGAGTATACACTACATGGTACCTTGTTAATCAATTCTCAAATTTACCATCCATAAGAATAGTTAAAATTAGAAATTAATAAACTTTCAACAATTTCGAAACTGAATCAGAAAAATAATCTTTCAAACCAAACATACCGTTTTTTTGTTTCAAGTGAGACAAGAACAGGCCATTAGGGCCCACCTTGTATTTTTCCACTGTCTTCTTGGTAAATAAACAACCTTGATGGAAGTTAATACCTAAAATTGATCACTTTGTTGTCCAGAACGGCCCAACATTACCTTTCAAACACAGTGAAGTGCTAGAAGACAATCCTAGGTCCTTTCTAATCACAACAAACACCCAACAAATTAAAAACCTCCTTTATTTTCCTTTGTCTTGTTGGTATCAAAGAAAATGATTATGAGTTAATTCTCTAGATTGATTATCTTTTCAATGCCACATGAAACATTGTAACAACTAAATAAATCAATCCCCAAATTCTTTTTTTTACTCCATCAAAAAAGTTGCATTAATATAATTTAAAAATAAAGATAACAATATACTTCAAGGTTTGATTAAAAACAGATATTATAGTGCGCATGATGTCCATAATTTATTCTTGTTTTGTATTAGCTAAAACACACCAAATTAAAAACCAGTCAATCCAACACACACCATCATCAGCTAAACATTGAATCAGCTGTTATTATTCATTCTGTCTCTCAAATGGGTACTAGGATTTATAAAAACACACACACACCCACCCCTTTTAACTCTCTGTTCTCATTATTATAAAATCGCACAGATAGAAGCATTTGGATACTCTTCTGCAATTGAGACAAAGTAGACCGGGTAAGGAATGGCCTTGAATTCATCTTTTTTAGGCTCCTCCTTCTTGCCGCTTCCTTTTTTAGGCTCCTCCTTCTTCTTGTCGGGTTCTCCGATAGAGATTACATCTGTGCGCCATGATTTTCGTAACTTGTTGACCACTGCAACTGGATCAACGGTGCCGATTACTGTTAGTTTCTTCTCGTTCTTGTCCATAGAAATGGAGTCAATCCCTGGCCAAATCAGAGAATTAGAACAGACCAATTGAACAAACATATACACATATAATTTAAAATTGTGATAAACCACTTAATAGTACCTGCAAGGCTAGAAACTGCTTTCATGGCCTTTTGCTCAGCCGTCTCATCATTTTTTCGAAAATTGAAGCAATTAGCCTTCTCATAATTTTTTCGAAAATTGAAGCAATTAGCCTTCTCAGCATGTAAATTCAATTTTAGTACCACTTTCTGCAACAAACCATGTACTTAATCATTAGACTAGACAATAACTAACAAATGGAATAAAACACAAACTTTTTTACTTTTATCAAGAAGTTAAAACATCAATAGTAATTTTGGTTAACATTGAAATTCAAAATCCATTAGGCTCACATAACGAAGCAGTGAAGGAAAAGTTTAGTTCAATTCTGATATCAAAAAAAAAAAAAAAAAAAATACTTAGTTTGGCAATCCCAAAGTGCATTCAAGAGAAATTTTATCAACGACCGTACTTATCAGCTCATCCCCCAACACATATAATTTATATCTCCATTTGAAATATAAAATCATTCAAAAGAACATATAAAAAAAATAGAAAGGAAAAATACAGAGCATAGCAAGAAGCTCCATAAAATGAGGTGACTTTAACTTTATTTTTTATTTCCAGAATGAATACAAGAAAAAAATAAAAAAATAAAAAATAAATAAAGAAGAAGAAGAAGAAGCAAACCCCGTGAAGAAATGGGCTTGAAGTTCATATGAGAAAAGGAAAAAATTTCAAAATATGATTGATTCAGAAAAGCCCTTATATGAACCCAAAGCAAACGAATACAACTCGAAATTTTGTTGAATTGACATTCTGAACGTAAATTAGAACAAACCAATCAAAACCCATTATTATTTTAGTTAATTATGAATCATAAACACATCACGAAGGAGATCATGACACACACACACATATACATATATATATATATATATATAGGAAAACAGAGTAGAGCAGAGTTCAGGTTTTTGCTAAGAAACTGGGGGATTTATTACCTTCATTTTAATAGCGTTTAGAATTCCGAGCTTCAAGAGACTTAACAAATCAAAAGCTAAATGTAATTTAGAAAAGATTGTAGTATGTGTATATGTAAGATATGTGAGCGAGAAGAAGAAGATGAAGGTGGTGGGAAATGCCCTGTTGAACCAGACAACTGGACTTTTAAATTAATGCCAAGACGACTCAACTTTATATATAAATAGAGAGAGAGAGAGAGAGAGAAATTAATTGGAGAAAGGAACCAAGCAATGTTCAATCGAATTGAAACAACTGAAGAAGTTGTCCTTGAATGGTAGAAAGGGTTAGTTCACGTAAATTATTAGATGTCCTTGTCTACTTGTCTATTTGATGTTTGGTGAATTAATTTAATGAAAATCATCCACTTATAAAATTTTATAATTTATTAATACATTCTTATTTGATTATTTTCTCAATTTGAGAATTTATATTTAATTAATTCACCATATATTAATGATCCAGAGCTATTTAATAATTTTTCGTGGGTGGCTTCATTTATTATCTCCACTTGGGGTCACGCTTCCCTTCATTGTACCAGGTGCAATTGAGTCTTTTTGCTTTTAGATAAGGACAAATGGTCACAAAATGACAACCCTTAAGTTGGATGAATATTAGAGACTTTGATGGAAATAGAGAATAACAGTACAAAGAGCCTACTTGAGAATGGACGCATCAATGCATCCTTTTTCAACCTTATTTTATTTCTTTTAATTAGGGTGGCAAACACCATACCAACCATTTACAATTTTTTTTTTTTTTTTTATTATTATTATTATTATTATTTTTTTTTTTTTTTTTTTACCACCAATTTACTTGTGGATATCCGAGCTATCTAGGATATATCTGCGTATCGGGTTTATGTACGGATTGTAGTAGATTGTAACTTTCATGTGGGCCTGACCCACTCCTATTTTTCAAGTATTCGCCAGCACCAAGCTTAGAGTTTGATCGTATTGATGCAGATACAGACACTCACTCTTCCAGTTATATAGGATTTCCTTTCTATTTTGGTTTTGAGTTTTAATTCTGTAAATTTATTTCAAGATTTGGAATTAGGGGTCCACTAGGTGGATTCCCGAGTTGTACGGACTTCAATTATATTAATTTATTTTTTTTAAGGTTTGAGGATTTTCATTTTAGTTTTTTTTCTATTTATTGTTATTTTAATCTTAATTTAGTTTTATTCCTGCTTGTTTACATATTGATTATTTGATATCCCTTGATTCTGTGCTCGAACTTGATCACCCGTGACTCTAGAATCGAGGGGTATTACAATTGGTATCAGAGCACTCCAGGTTCTAGTGTCCTTAGGAGTGTCTTTCGTTAGAAGTCTTCCGCGTTGCGTCTCTTAAAACTTAGAGCCATGTTAGGATTCGTTGTGCTCTTTTACGGTTCGTTAGGAGGAGCAGCTGGTGTCAATTATATTTCATAATCATGGAATGGTTGACACTAGGAGGAGGATGGGGTCCAAGGCGACAACAATTCAGATCCAAAGGGGTAAAGGAGTACGATATCGGGTTCTTTGTCAGAAGCAGAACTTAGGATTAAAGGTTTAGTTCCGGTTGGCGTTACTTTTAGGAGTATAAGCCAAGGAAGGATTTAGGAGCGTGTTATAGGTCACCGCATAAAGGGACCAACACGATTTCAGTTGTTCTCATAAACGAGGCAACCGAGGAATAAGAGTCCGAAGCGGATTCTAGTGGAGGAGATTTCAACATACCCAAGAAAAAGGGTATTGAATCTTGGAAATCAAGGATCGCGTGAGAGGGGTTTAGTTCGCTAATAGTATAGTGCACGATACTCGTATAGTTGGTGTGGATGGTTAACCTTACGTATTACCTTTAAAAGAGGTAGATAAAGAAAACTCTTCAGGAGTTTAGAATCGGATGGAGTTCTTCTCAGAACGAAGCGATGATTTTATATCACGTTCCGAGGAATATGGGGAATTAGATTGGGACGTTCTAAGTTGCTTTACAAAGCTACATTAGACGGTTTGCATTTTATGGATAAAGAGGGTGAAGGTTAAGCCTTTGGAATTTGCTCAAGCAAATGGATTTTATTTTGAGCTACGATTTGAGCTTATGTTTCGAGGTTGGATGATTTCCTCTGAAACTGTAAAAAAGGAGATTGTGAATCAATCAGGTAAAGTTGAGTTCTAAAAGAGATTTTCTTGCAAGAAGGAACGATGTTTTACGTAGATTTTTTTTTTTTTTTTTTTTTTGTGTGCATTATGTGTTTCCTTTTTGTTAATTATTCAGGATTGGGAATGTGGTTTAGTTGGGGACACAAATGAGTGATCAACCAACTACCATTTTGGAGGAATAGCATTAATGAAGCTAAGATTTTTGGGCATGTGGTCGTAGGATTTGGTAAGTATACCAAACTTTAGCCAATCTAAGGAACCGAGACATGCGTAGTTATACTACGTTTTCAGGATGGGATAAGTAAACCAGCAGTTCGAGTCAAATGATATAAATTCGTTTGATAAACTATAACGCCATGATGTTTTACCGGAAGAACTGACTTGGCTGAAGATCTTCTTGGAGATTTTAGAAGAGGTAGTCCCAAGTCAGTAGGAGGATTTTGATACTGGTTCAAGTACTTGTTGGAATGACACCGACTGAGGATAGTAGGCGGATTTACTAGTCATCAGTTAAATCTTAATCAAGAATTTTATTTTTTCATCAGGAGGTGTCATTAGGAAGATGTGCTGGAGTTGTATATCAAGGAGGAGGCAAAGTTACTCATTTGCACAAATAATATGGAATTTTTTTTTTTTTTTTAGGTTACAGTTCGCAACAAATAGTTATTGCTCGAAATTGTTGACTATTTGGAGGATAAAAAGATTTCCATATGCGGTTGTAGTTAGACGGGATGTCTAATAGACACTTACTTGTGTTAGAAAAGTAAGATGTCAAAGACTTGAGGATGAGACCGAACATCTAATGAAGTTGATGTTACCAGACTAACAATACTACCATTAGACAAATTGGAAGGAGGATGTAAGGACTGAGGTTCACCATTCTTAGTTCTTTATTGCATCTGGAGGAAACATAATGCTTTACAGAGGGAAGCAGATATTTGGAGGGCAAGCAGGAGAAGGGATATAGTGAATTTGTCTCAAAGTCTGCTATCTAGTAGATAATCTGGATGGACTGTCAAAGATCATTGGATCCTTGCAGCCAATTCTCATAATGGAGTGGGACTGACAGAGTAGTTTCCACGGATCTAGATGAGAGATTGCTGTTTTACACGAGGGTCAGGATTCGAGTTGTGATATTGTTTGACTGTGTGATACCCCCGAATTTTCGAATGCGGGTTGGCCAGGCCCACGCCCGAATACCCGAGGATATCAAAACAAATTGATAATAAACGAACACAGAGTACAAAAGAATAAAGAAGAATAAATAAACTGCTAAAAAGAAACTAAAATGATAATCTAATAATAAACCTCAGAATATATTTTCATTAATTAATAAACTCTTCTGATACAATTGATCCTCCAAAATACAACTCGAAAATTCATACTGTGTGGACCCCTAGAAAATCCAAAGTAAACAAATGACAGCAATAACTGTCTAAATCAGGAAACTGAATCATAAAGGAACTCCTATGTAGCATCGGAAGAATGAAGTAGACTGATCCCTGCTCAGCACGAACAACCTCTACTCCTGACGAACACCTGAAAAATAATGGTGGGTCAGGCCCACAAACAAGTTCTACTCTACTACAGTCCAAGTAGAGATCCGATACACGTATACATCCTAGTCAATCCAACAGTAACTAGTAGTCCGTATATATATATATATACATACACTAAAGGAACCTCACTAGACTATAGGGTTGTCTCAACCTAAATAGTAGGCAACATGCAAAACGCACATATAGTGGGCATGAATACCTAGACCTACCAGGGTACACAACCACACCATATCTAGTTACACATCCCTGGCGATATACGCACCATAACCACTGATCCTGAGACTCAAGCTCATATCATGGCACCATACTTATATATATATAATCTAGTAACCATCCTATCCGGTATAAATTAATCCTCCATAAGTCATTCAACTTGTTCAGCTGACCTGACTTGAATATAAGTAGGACTTAACATTTTAGTTAATCCATTCCCTTATATAATAAATTAATCATCCATAAGTCATTCAACTTGTTCAGCTGACCTGACTTGAATATAAGTAGGACTTAACATTTTAGTTAATCCATTCCCTTATATAAAATAGGTAGGACTTAACTGATAAGTTAATCCGTTCCTAGAATGCCATCGTCCCATACCGGTGCATTAAATCATACAATTCAACAATTGATGTAACGATTAAGGAAATACGTCAAACAATCCAGAAATAACTATGATAATATGATATCAAGTTATCACAAAATAGGAATGACTTATTATTTATTTAAGTTTCCTATATCATATGTCCTACATAAACTGAATCTTATACATATGATGATATTTTATTATACCGTCAAATAAGCATTCTCCATATCCAATTCATCCTACATATTTAATCTCAATTGTCAAAACATATTAAAAGATTAAATTCATTCGTTTGTTTAAAACATTCAAATAGCAAGCATCATTATGATTGAGTCTATTTAAATTTATTTAAACCCAAACCTAGTTCCTATTTAATGTTTAGGAATCCTAGGCATGTTTCTACGTTCCATCATTCCACAGATATGAAATATACATAATTTAAACATGTAAAAATTCACATCGGAAATCAAATCAAAATCATGTATTTATCAATTCATAACACAAGAACAGATGTGAACCAAATTCATAAAACCTATGTTCTAATCCAATTAAACATGCATAATTATTTAATTTTGTGTGTTTAATAAATCATGAAATTTCCTAGGCATGCATAGAAACACGAATCAAAGGGAAAGAGATAGAAGAAGAACTTGCCTTAAACTTTCGAATCGAAAGTTAAACTTCTTCTTCCTTGATCTTCTCTCTACAGGGTTTTCTCCTCCTTCCTTCCTCTTTCTCCTTCTCTCTCTAACTCTTTCTCTATAGAATATATTACGTGATATATTTTCACTCCTTTTTCAACCTATAGTTCTGTATTTATAGGCTAAATAATAACCCTATTCTTTTTCCCAATCCAAGTCAACTTAATAA